TTCAGCAATTTTCTGTTTAATTTCTCGATTTAATTTATTCCATTCTCTTTTTACATGGGGACTCCAGGTCAAATGCCATCTCTTGCGTAATTTATTCCGCTCAGAAATAAGATCCTTAATGCTGCGGGGGAGAAAATTGGCGAATTGTTCTCTGCTGATTTCTTTAGAGGCATTATTAATGGCAGTTTTGACGCCATTAGTCAAGTTCTCTATTGCAACGTCAATATCTTTTCTAGTTTTGAGCGTACCAATATTCGGGGGATTAATCTGAAGAATATCTCTGTAGAGATTCCAGTCAGTGAGTTTAATTTTATCGGTATTCTTTTCCCTGGCTACTCCAAGTGTGACAACCACTGGCAGATGATCCGAGGTGAGTTCATGTAGAACTTCAATAGTCATGGGAAAGGAAGTATTAGTAAGGAGGAGATCTAAAATCTCTGCTCTGCGAGGATCATTTGGCCGGTAAGTGTATTCAGCCGGCGCCTCTAGTGCAATGGGGTGATTTGTAATAAATTCATGTAGAATTTTTCCATTTTTATTTGTCTGTCTGCATCCCCATTCTTTATTTTTTGAATTAAAGTCCCCAGCAACGATAAACTGATGATTTCAGGGACAAATACTTTTCAGGATATCTTCATTAAGCTGAACATAGGGGGGATTGTAAAAAGCACTAAAATAAACAGTCCCTATGTAAGGTAGTAAAACTGAAACTGTGACCATTTCATTTGTGGAGTTTCCTTTTATCGGAAATAAAACATGATTGCAGGGAGTTTCGTACATAAATTGCGACTCCCCCACCTCTTTGACTCAAGCGATCACATCTATATGTGCGATAATTATTAATATTTATGTTCTTACACGGAGTAGCGTAAGTCTCAGAAATTAAAGCGATGTCAATCTCATGAGTAGTGAGGAAATTGTGAAGCTCCGTGATTTTATTAAGAATGCTGTGAGCATTCCAAAAAACTGCTCTAATAGGGGCCTTATTAATGTTGTGATTGGCCATTATGGTCTCCGGATTGTTGTGTTTCTTTAATTACTGCTTTATTCTGTTGAATTTGCTGTGAAAGCAAAATGCCTGAGCTTTTGATTACGTTAACAAGTTCGGCCAAGTCGGCGAACACCTTTTTCGCTTCACTGATCGTATCAGAATATATTCCAGTGGAAAGAGCTTGTGCATAACTTTTGCTTTCCACTACCCTACTAGTGTAAGCTTTTACTTTCTCTTGTTTTTTCTTCGGGAATTTGTCACATCCTCGAAAATTCGATGTGTGCTCTTGGAGACAGTTGGCGCACTTTGGTGGTTTTTCTTTATTTTTATTGGGGCAAAGATATGAAAAATGTTCCTCAGCGCACCGAACACATTTGGGCGTAAAGTAACATCCTGCTTGGGTGTGGTGGAACCCCTGACAACGGTAACATTGTAGGGGCCCCGCCCTACCCTTATAATCTTCAATTCTTACTCTTAGCCCGCAGAGGTTAGTGATGTTATGTATTTCCTTCGATTTATCCTTTCTGGGTAGTGAAACAAGGAACAGAGGCAATTTAATTACCTCTCCATTTCTCCTGCTAGTCATTTGTTTGACAGAACTAACGACTAAATTTTTAGCTTTTAGTTCCTCGCTAATTTCCTTGATCTCAGTATCATGTAGTAGCCCTCTTATGACCACCTTAATATCCTTATCCTGTGGCAAGATAAATGAGTGATGTTCTATTTTTGCGGCCTGAAGCAGCTTAACTATCACCCTGTAGTCTTCATCATCCTTAGTCATAATTCTAATACCCTTAGGGGTTTGACGGCTATCGACTTCAATATTACGCTCTTGAAAGGTTTTCCTAATATTATTCCAAACCTTGTTAGTCACTTTAATGGTAATAGGTGGAATTTTATATTTTCTGACAAAGTTGTGTCAGTTATTTCATTTTCATCTTTATTTTGTGGGTTTGGTTCGGTTTGAGTGTGTTCCGTTTCCAGAGAAGTGGTATCCATTGTATCATTTTCGGTTTCCACGATGGTGGATAATCCCTGTTTGTGTGTGTTATTTTGTGTTAACTCACGTTGTTTTTCTTTTGAATGTATAGTATCATTAGAATTTTTGTCGATAATGTCAGAGTTAATGTGCCTGCTAGCACGTGGTAATTCGTTCGGCATATCATGTTTTTGCTTTTTCGCCGGCGGTTTCGCCGACCTGGTACGTACGGTCTGATCTCCTCTGCGTTTAGAATAAAATTCCTCGTCGGAACTAGTATCCTGATCAAGTGTAGTCTCTTTTTCTGAACCTGTTTGTTCATTATCATTAATTGTTTATTTGCATTTACTATTCCTATCCGATAGATAAGCATTAATGCATGTGAGCATGTGCACATAAAATTTATAGTCTCGTTCCTGTTCGCAAGTAAGCGCACCATCATCGCAACGCTTAAGTTCCAATTCCTCAATGAGCTGCTCAAAAACAAAGCTAACTCTGTCCATGATCAATCCAAAATAATCCAAAAGTCAAAAAATCGCAGCGCCCAAAAACGCAGAAAAACCCGCGCCCTGGAACCGGGCCCGCTCGACGGCGTCTCGGCAGACAGATGAGCGGGTGGAAACTCACAAGGCTCCTGACAATCACTTGACAGTGAGAGCTTGGGAGTAACTATGTGAGTTGAAAATCCAGCGTAAGACTCTAGCAAAATAAAAATAAAATACAGCAAAGTAATTAAATACCTTCCTGTAACACACAGCAATTAGGCGTAATGGCAATATATGGCAAGATAAGCAATAAAGCACAATCATAGTCCGAGAAACCGTCACTGCGTTAGCACGTGGCCGTGCTCATCGAAGCGTGAAAATCGGCGATTCGGATTTGGCGGTGCTCCCCACAATTACGTCCTTCGCAAGCGAAGGCAACTTCCTTGCCGAAAAAAAGGGCCAGAATAAAGAAGGGCAGCATAAAAAAGGAGGGAAAAAAAAGATCAAACCTTGAATAATAATACCAAAAGGAGCAAGACATACGCAGGAAACATGCGCCAATCGTAACTCAGGGACCCAAGACATGTAACTGACAACAATATGAGAAGATACACTACAGCAATGTTTGACAATCAAATACATTAAACCCTCATCAGTAGTGCTAAATACAACACAAAAAACAACTATACAACACATTTAAATACCTATTCAACGCAATACAACCAATTCAACAACACTAAGCAACCATTTAAACACCCAATATCATCACATGCGAAAAAACGCACAGGCTTAGTATTAAGCGCCAAAAATTCAAGCTACGAGACTTCAATCACATCAGATGCATTGTAAGTATACACAGCTACCATTGAGATCTAAGTGAAACGTTGTGTCTCTCCATGAAGTGTGATCTGAAGTGGTCTGACTCTTCTATTTCGAGCGATTCAATTAAAGACTTGGGGAGTAACAAAGTCACATTGCACGGCTTGTTGAAAATTTTTCATTAGACTTCGAGGTAATCTGAATGTCTCAGTTTTAAGTCGTGTAGAAGTTTATTGCGGTAGATGGTGATCAGTAATATGCGAGAATTGTTTTGCACTACTTGTATTGTGAAGTTGAGTTTAGTGACGTGTTCCAAGCATAAGCAGCATAAAAAAGTATCGGTCGAATCAAGTGGTATAGATATGTTTTTGTACGCACTAGATTTGAATTTTCCTGACCGGAGATCGGCATTATGCCCATGGCTTTGCTTGACATATTAATGTGATTAGACCATGTGAGCCTTGGTTCAAAATATTCTAAGTATTTTGGCCTTGTGACCAAGAACAGCTTCTGAAAAGATGAGATCTTTAAAAGCAATGTTTTTCTTCGTTTTGCTAAGAATTAAAAGTTGTGACTTGCTAGCATTGATTTTTAGATGGGGAGTTGCGACGTAATTACCTTTTATACCGAATTACATTTGCGATCACATGACAGATTAATGTCCAGCTGTTGGGTTCATATTTCATCGAAAATTGCAGATCAGAACTTCAGGAAGTTTAGTTAGTAAAATTATTGCTCTGTTATTTTTAGAATGAAAGCAGAAGTTAAAGGACTATTATTAATTTATTATTTGAAAGATATTTTGTGTTCTATGCGCTCGTGGATTTGGAGTAATTGACGATAACACTTAATGAAGAATTAAAACTCAAGTTATTCGCCAGTATGACATAGGAGAGTTCCAAAAACATGTTTACAATTGTAGAAAAACTATAATAAACATGCTGAAACAGCAGCACAGCCTTCAGGCTACAACAGTGAAGACAGCTTCATGGCAAAGCACTAAAGTACAGCTTGCGACTCACTTCAGTCGCTCTCAAGCTAATCTCTGAACTCAAAATACTACTACTGAACTCAACATACTACTTTCTCGGCAGATAGGCATTTATATATAGCTTTATCCTAACTTTGAGAATATTCTCGGGAAAACCGCTAAGAATGCATTCTAGAATATTCTTGCTCCATCTATGGCATATTGCCAGTTTTGTCGCCAAATGGGCGATTCTGCACCATATCTGGCAACCAAGAAACTCTAATTTCCAGAAACTCTAACCCTGCTATCTCATCGCAGCTGGGCATTTTGCAACAGTTGTATACTATATAAAATAATGTACATACAAAGTGAATGAAAAGCAACAGGAAAAATAAAAATTCGATAATTTAAAGTGTGTACACGAGAGCACAATGAGATTTTCACACAAATTCACATACACACACACCAAAACAACAACAAAACAAAAAAATATATATATATATTTCCAGAATAGTTACATTTTTATTTGAAGTCACAAGTGTACAGAGGTTAATTGAACTGCAAGAACCATCATATAACAGGTGTTACAGATACAGGAATGATGGCTGTCCACTGAACATTTGTGATCCTAGCTGTGTTGTAAACGGTGGTTTCTCACTGTAGGAATTTCTGGCACAACTAAAGCAAAACCTGTTAGTGAAAAATGTAAGCAATAAAATTTTTCATTATTAAAAAAAAAAAAAAAAAAAAAAAAAAAAAATCCTGCCTTTTTGTTCATTTGTGTGAAAAACTGAATTTTTACTTTTTCTGTTACTTTTGCATCATATATGTAATATTTTGAATTTTTTAAATTTTCTTGTTGATTGATAGGTTAAAGTACTTTTGTTGTTGTGCAAACGTGCCAAAAGAAGACTCTTTATATATAGATATTTCAAGATTTCTGGCTTCTCTTCTTAATGTAAGTATTTTACTTAATATTTAACCTTCTCCCAATATATATGTATTATATAGTTTATATAACATATGCATAAAGGAAATATATAGTTCTCAGATTAAACTTAAAAAATTACTCTAAATATGACATAAATGTGCTTGCACATTTTTACTTTCCTTGTTACAAAAATTATGTGAAATGATTTTATTTTAAATAATTATGCACATCAAAGTATTTTTAATAGAACATTGTGTAAATCTGAATATTTCTTATGACTTTTAATATTTAATTTTAGAATTTTATTTTATTTAATATTACTTTAGTGTTGTGATTATTGCAATCATTGCTAAAGGTTGCACATAATAATGTATGTTGTACTGGAATATACCAAGTGGAATAAAATGGTATCAAAACTGTAATAAAAAAGGGCAAACTACTTTTGATTTTGCAAAGTCAAAGTGAGTCCTGTAAGAAGTTCAATCTCACATCAGAAAGCTGAAATGTTGAGTTTCTTGCACGGAAATATTTCCCTATAACAAGATCTAACAGGAATTATTTCAGGGCAGAATTTTAGATTATTACAGTGCAGAAGTTTTATTTCAAACGGGGGGGGAAGAAAGTTGTTATTTCATCAGTTGATGACCAATTATTTCCATAACAATATCTTTTCTGACTGTACAGCACATTTCAAATTAAATGGCAATATAAGTGAAAAAACTAACAGAAAATTAAATCATTCCTAAATGATCAGCTGAGATGAAAGAAAATAACTTACGTACTGAGCTGCATACATTTATGAACTGTGTTGCATCATAAACTGTGCTGCATAATCAAATTTATTCATTATTTTAGGATTTTTTAAAATTATTAAGATTTTAAAAAATTTAAGTGCTTTCTTGCTTATGCAGGACTATTTGTAGTTTCTGTTTTTATAAAAAATGAAATATTTAATTAGAATTTGGTACTTTGTTTTTATCAGACAAAGTGTGAGCCCTTTATTAAAATTTTCATAGCTAACCACTGATTATGGAAGTATTTGAAAATACTTAAAAATTTAATGTAAAATGAAATTTAAATATCTAGACATATGAAAGGGAGAATAAAATTTAAGTAAAATTTATTATTTATGAAAGAAAATACCTGCTTCTTAGTTTAAGTAAATAATACTAAAAAAATGTTGCCTTATTTTTATATGTTAAAACTAATTAATTTTAGTTTCTAATGTTTCATTTGTTTTGAAAAAGACATTAAATTCTTGTCGCTCAGTTAAGGTTCAAATGCTTTTACATAGTAAGTCTGATGGTGAATGTGACAAAACTAAATTTATTATTTGATAAACAAAAAGTAAAATTTTCTACCTATACATTCATTGCAGGTAATCATTATTTTATTTTCAAGATAAAGCATTTTATTCTTTGAATAGTGATATTCAACCATATAGAGAAACAATTGTTCTTTTTTATTATGTGGTGAGAAAGAAATCTGAGTAAATTAAAAAGAAAAAAGAAACTGTGCAATTTTTATTTAGATAAAACAGAATTTTCTGTTTAAATTAATAATGAATTAGAATAGTAATCTTCAGTAATTTTTATTATTTCCTGAAATGTGCCATTAAAATTATATATATATTTAAAGGATACTGATTTGACATCTACTGACATATTAGCTGGCTTGATAATTCTTGACAGAAAAATGCAAAAGCAGAACTTTCATAGAATCTCGTTATATAAAAATGAATCAACTGGTAAGTTAATTTTAAATATTCTTTCAAGTTCTTTTATCTCTTACCTGTATATTTGTTTTAAGTTCTCTGAGCATTTCTGGTGTAAACCATCTAATACATTAAGACACAATAACACGCCGAATAAATACTAATTCAGAAGTCAAACAACAAAAATCAGCGTTAATTTACAAAATTTTCACAGGACTAGTTTCGATGGTTTTACCAAACCACCATCTTCAGCTGCAAAATCACAAATGAACAAGATAGGAAATAATGATTAGATAAGATAAGAAAGCCTGGACAAGAATAAGAAAATGACTTCTGAATTAGCATCTAATACATGTTTCTTATTTAAGTATAATATAATCTGTAAATGATTATAGAATAATAAATTCACTACTTAATTAGCAGTTAAACAGTGACTTTTTAGCATGTAAACTTTTTTTGACACATGCACATAAACTGCGAATTTGGGAAAAAAATGCGCTTAACTCCATTGTCAGTAATTCATTCATAACACTTAAATTGTCAAAATTTAATTACTGATTGCCTTCTGTTGATCAGAAAAATTAATGATTGCATAATTAGTAATAATACAAATTTTCTTAATGTATTATATATTGCAATCTTACAATAAAGTAAACTAGAGAAAAGAAAATATTATCAAGAAAATCGCAAGAAACGTTAAGTATAATACTTTACTATGTTTCATCTGTATCTCATTGTATGTTGTTTTGCAAGATCAATCATCTAATTCAGTATTTATATCAACATTATCTTGTTAATTTAGTAATTAATTAGTTAATTAGTCTTTAATAAAGTAAACAAATAAATATTAAGCTTTTTTTTTTTTTTTTTTTTTTTTTTTTTTTTGTAAATTTGATACCCTTTAGATCATAATTGTTCTTTATTTCAAAAATTACGGTTTCATATTTTTAATTTTAGAATTTCTGCATGCCATCTTACGAGTTTTAAACTGATTACTTTTTATAATCCGCAAAAATCGATAATCCGGAATCGCCGAAGTCCCGACGAGTCCGGATTAACGACTTTTGACTGTATCAAATTTTTGGATTGCCAGTTTTAAGATACAACATACTGTAGTATTATCATTCCTTATTTTTATATTTAGAAGCTAAGTTATTTGTTTAATAAGAATAGTATTTTGCACAGATTAAAAAAAGTACTGTTTTACATAAATTAATATGATAAAATAAATTCTATTTTGAATTTTAAAATTGTTTCAGAAAATTGTATAACTGTTCCTGAGTGGATGAGCCCAGAAAATGCACTGTACTTCCTAAAGATAGCCAAAAGTACTTATGGATGGTTTGCATTGTGCAATACATTCCATCCGTGCAGTTTCTGTACTTTGTCATGTCCATTAAAGTAAGTGAAATACTATTCAAGCTAAAAATTTTTTTATCAGAACTTATTTATATTGTAGGTAATTTAGATACATATTTTATCTGGATTAGGGAAAAGCAGTGTATGAAAGAAGAGTACACTGGTGTGCAAAAATTAAGGACGAGACGGTTTTTTTCAATATAACTTTGTACAAAAACTTTCCAAATCAACACATTTAATACCGTAAGATCCCGAATACGTAAGGACATGAGTAATGTAAGCAACACTTACTAAAAGAGAAATCAGAGGGATAAAAAGAAGCTTTATTGAAACAGTAGCATGGAGCGCAATGCGACTGAAGGCCGAAAACATCCCTGTGATGGGTGTCCAGCAAGAAACATCCGGTCTTTAATAGGGGATATGATCTCCCTTACTGCTAGGCAGGTTTCACAGCGTCTGCCCATGCTGAGAATGAGGGTGTCAATGAGTTGTTGAGGCATTGCTGTCCATTCGTCTTGCAGCGCCAATCGAAGCTCCGGAATCGTTACTGGTGGTAAGGTACGAGCTGCCACGCGTCTGCCTAGAAAATCCCATACATGCTCGAGGGATTGAGATCCGGAGATCGTGCCGGCCAATACATACGTTCAATATCCTCACTCTCTAAGAGCTGTTCGGCAGCTACTGTGCGATGACATGGTGCATTGTCGTCCATGAAAAGGAACTGCAGACCCATAGTGCCTCTAAAAAGACGCACATATGGAAGAAGAATCTCGTTACAATAACGGGTCCCGTTGACTGAACCTGCGTCGAAGATGTGAAGGTCTGTACGACTACTAAGCATCATGCCTCCCCAAACGAGAACACCGCCATCTCCATACCTGTCCCTTTCAATGATGTTCGAGGGATGATTGCGGCTTCCCCGCTCTCTCCAGATGAGTATGCGATGAGAATCGCTACTCAGACTGAATCTGCTCTCATCTGTAAAGAGTACTCGTCCCCATCTATTGTCTCTCCAATTCCGGTGTTCCCGGCACCACAGAGTACGCCTTCTCCGATGGGCAGGCGTTAGAGGTACACACCGTACAGGGCGTATTGCAAACAGACCACCACCGTGCAGTCTTCTGGCCACGGTAAAACGCGATATCGGTCGTCCAGTCGCCTGTGTCGTGTGTCTAGCGATTTCTCCCGCTGTCTGCCGCCTGTTTCTTCTGGCCTGTAAGGCAATATACCGGTCATCTGCGGGTGTCCTTCCTCGTGAACGACCACTACTAAACCCCCGGATAGCTGTTCCTGTAGTTTGAAATTGTCTCCAAAGTCGTGAAACGATGCTGTGAGCAATTCCGAACTCTGCAGCCACACTTGTCACACTGCGGCCTTCCTCCAACTTCCCAATGATTCGACCTCGGGTAAAAGAATCCAGATGTCGTCTAGCAGGTTGATTATTCGCCATTTCTCGCTGAGGCAGCAACTCGGTGTGATTTTAACTGCTATACGGCGTGCAATCTCTTTGCCAGAAATACTGATCTTACACCGACAACATGCTTTATACTACTCAGACACTTCCCCATTACGTCTACCTGCATATCTGCGCATGTGCTACCGTACATCACCTTACTTTATCTCCTGATTGGTCTTTCTGTCCGCTCTGCCTCTTCGTTCAGCTGATATGCTAATTTTTCGACTTCGTCCTTAATTTTTGCACACCAGTGTATAAAAGGGTTATCTGCTTAAGCTGCATCAGAATTTTGACAAAAAATTCTCTGGAATGTAAAATCCAGAGGATAATTTGTAAGAATTTCAGTTTAAACATTTTTAAAAACCTTTAATCTGTAAATATAAATATTTATAAACAATCGTACCTTATCTGGAGTTCAAATTCATTAATCTGCAGCCATCTTCCACTAATCACCATACAAGTGGAAGTGACAGTAATTAGGAAAGATGCAGGCAAAAAGTCGTAAATGTTATTATTAACTAGAATAAAAAGTAAATATTGTATGCAAAAGTTAAAAAAAACTGTTTATTATATGAGCCATAAGTGTTTAATGATGAATTTTCTCCAGTGTTTCTTTCCTTGCTTTAACTCAATGACCAAATTTTTTTTTCAAATGTTATATGTATTTATCAAGATAAAATACATAATTATGATGACCAAAAATGTTTATTAATAAACTTTTCTGGCTGAGATGCAGATAAGGCAGGGCTGCATTTTGAACTCAATACAGACAGAATAGGAAACCTCTTACTTCTTATAGAAAATGCGTTTTTTGATTTTTATGCAAATGAATTATGGTCTGCATAAGATTCTCTGTTTCTGCATGTTTGCTTGGTGTTAAGAGACAGATATTCAAATCCCATGAATTGTAAAAAAGATATCACGTTAAAAATCTCATGTCTTCCTAATTTATTTTATCACTTAAGCGTTTTGAATGTTAACCTAAAAGTCTATTAAATATTTTACTTAGGGGGCAAAATAAAAGAAAGATGACTTTTATTAAAGTTTGGAAAGAAATCTGTTATTGATGTCCCGTAGAAGCATTTGTTGGAAAAAGAATGTGATTGTTGCAATTTTCATATGACTAAAATCACTTTGTGATGGTCTTGAATGCCAAATCATAGTTTTTCAAAGAGAACTTAATATTTCATATTTAGATTTATGTATATTAATTCTGGAAATAATTATTTCATTTCTGTATTTACTGTGATATAAAAGGATTCCAGGAAAATGTGAAAAATCAGAGCAGATACTCAAATACATTTTATCAAATCATATTGGGAAAGTTAACCTTAAGGTTCAGTAATTTTAATTACGTTCTTCATTTACTTAAATTAATTTATCATATAAATAAATTTATTTGTATTTTTAAAAAGTGTGTTTTTAAATTTGTTTTTCATTAAATGCATATTTCAGATTTTGCTTTAATTGAAAAGTTGTGTACGCTTAAAAAAGTTTTTTTTTTTTTTTTTTTCCTGTCTTATTTTAACATAAAAGATTAGAGGACCTTTCGGTATATGGAATTTAAGATTCATTACACCTCTTTTGCTACTTTCATTCAAGGTCTCCTGCAAACAATTATGATGCATAATATTATTCTTCAGAATCTTAGTGAAAAAATTTTATGATTAACACAATTACAAAATGAAAAAATTTAGTGATTAACTCATTTGTTACAAATGTGTAAAAGGGGACCATCTCCCGCAGACCAATAGTATATTTAATGTAGTAATATCAAAAACTACTTCCGAGAGGAAAATTCTGAGTTATTTTAATGAAAAATACGATTTTAATATTATTTTAATAATTTTAATGTTATATTTGGTTGGCAAGATGCTAATTTTGGTTTGCACAAATAGATAGCATAATGTTTACATTGTTATTTTGTCATTTTGATTCATTCATTTCTTTCATTGAAATTTGGCAGCTGAAACTTTTAAGTTGCTATAAAAACAAATGCCTTGTGTTTTATTTAAAACTGTTACTTTACCATCAATTTTAGCGTGAGGTGCAAAACAATAAAAATTTTTTGACATTTTTTTTTTTTTTTTTTTTTTTAATATATGTATAAAGGCAAGAAAACGACTGATGCTCACGAAGAGATATCCCTGCTAAAAATGCCCCATAGAAACCGGTAAAACTTTTATGGGTACCCATAAGATTTTATGGGTTTCTATTGACTTTTACTGGTTTCTGTTGGTCTCTGTGGGTTTTCTTACTGGTTTCAAAATGACCATAGAAACCAGTAAAACTTTTTACTGGTATCTATAGAATGTTTGATGGTCTCTACTGACTTTTACTGGTTTCTATTGATCTCTGTGGGTTTTTCTTACTGGTATCACTTGGCACCCATACAACCCAACATTTCAATGGCAGAACTTTGTACTGGTTTGTATCGGTTTATATTGACTTTTACTGGTTTTCTTACTGGTATCAATATAATAACAAATCTTCTGTTGGTTTATATGGGTTTATGCTATTTTTTTAATCTGACGTTAATAGACTTCTTGTAAACAATAAAATTAACAGAAATGAAAATATGATCTCTTTAAGACCATCAGATTAACCTGGAAACGCAGGTGGGTGGTCGCAGTTTTAGAGAGGGTTTTTCACTAAATATGCTTATTTATTTGATTTTTAAAAAACTTCTGTCGGAAACAATAACAGTAATCATAATACACACCCAACACAACGAGGTCTCTCTAAGGCGACCAGCCGCAAATAAAAAAGCATCTTTGCAAGTGGTCGCCTTAGAGAGATTGATGCTCTATACCAATATATACTTCACGTTCTCAGAAGACACGTTTATCTTTTAGAGGCGGTCATCTTAGAGAGGTATTGCATCTACGGAAATGGATGTCTTTAATGCGACCAGCCACACTCGCAGAATTTTCTTTGTGAATGGTTCGCCTTATAGAGGGAATATTCAATACCAAAGTATACTTATGTTTTCAGAAATACTGGTATCTTTCAGAGGCGGTCGTCTTAGGGAGGTGGTTTTTGCTACGAGTTGGTTCTCTGAATACACACACATAAGCACTTACATTTCTGATATTACAAATAAACACCGGTATCAACCAACATCTCTTTAACCGAACAAGTTCATTCACAATCGCAAAACTTTTCTCCCAGTTAACGCTGACGTGAGGGAAAAAAATTCCCCCTCCCTCCCATGCTCCCTTCTCCACTCTCAGAAGTTTCCCAAACAAGCAATATAGCGCCGCTCTAGTTATTGTTGTGCGATGATGGTGTTATTTTCTTCGTGGTTGTCGTAATGCAATATATTATTTACTGCATTACTGTATTAAATTTTACTATGTTTTACTGTTTAGAAATTAGTAATAAATAATAAAATACCAGCACTGACTATGAATATACCACTAAAGCCATGCACGTGTAATCGTGTTTAATGTTTGAGAGAACGTTGCTGATAACTTACTAGTTGTGAAATGGAGTTTCTGAGCCTAAAATTGATTTATCCTAAAAAACAATGTGCTTAAAGACTGAAAAGTGATAATTTCAGACTTGATAATTTGGTTCAGCGTGC